AACTAAAAAAAACAACATAAGTAACGCAAACATTATCTCTGTGGTAATCGCCTCTCCATGGACAAATGCCACAAATGACAGCAATCAGGAAATGATATTAGTCATTAAGTTGGCCTGTTGACCTCTTGTGGCTGTAAAAGATAAACTTCTCTGGAAAAACTCCCTCAACAAGATCAACTGTGGCATAAGGAGTATATTTAAATTACTTTGTACCTGGTCACTTTCATCATCAAATATGTCCTATGCTGAGTCAATTCGTCGTATTGAAATTGCAGACATTCTCAGGAGAGGTGCGTCGCTGTCTGGAACTGGTGTGCTACTCTGGAACCGTCTCGTCCTCTCTGCATGTTAGCTTCATGTTAGCCTCGCAGCAGCAGCTGTAACCATGGTATGCTAACCATACAACTTAACTAACAATAGTTACATTATATGTTGTGTCGTTGTTAGATCATGGTGTTGGATTTCTCCAGAATCGTATACCCCACCTTTAATGCATTTAGAAAAGCTTTTGTCGCGTCCAACTCTTGTTCTCGCAGCATGTGGATTTCTGAGATAGATGATGTAATCATACCCAACCCATTCACATAATGATTTTCTGAAACTACAACAGTGAAGAGGAAGGCAATTAGAATTTTACCGCTTGGCTGCCTACATCGGCGTGTGTGGCAGTTGAGTCTGGAGGGGGTGCAGGCTGAGTTGAGCGCTGATGAGAGCGTTGTGAAGCCCAAAGGATTGGTTGTGTTTTCAGGGAACACTGACACACACAGTTGTATCAAATATCTCAGGGTAGTCTGCTGATTGGTTCTGTGGTGTCACTGCTCTACTTTAGGAAGCAATGGTCTTTGTTGTGTTGCTATGAAGTTGGAATTTTCCTCCAATCTGCGTTCTTTTGAAAAGCTCCTCTCTAACTGAATGGAATGAGGCGCTTGGTTTTGGGTTAGAGCAGGGAAAGAAAGCACGATGTCTGCCCTTGCGTCTGTAATAGCTCCTGCTGTAATGCTTGGCCTCTTTTCTCCTCATCCCTGGGCTCTCTTGGGGAAAAGCCTTGTCATAGACACACAGTCAGTTAAGAGGTGCAACCGAAACTTGACTGTGCTCCTCAGGCAGTAGATCTGTAGATTAGATTTGATCTGTTATGCAAGTGTGTGGCATGGGGAATTGGCTCTCATTTCCCTAGCTTTAAACATCTGGGTCCCACCCCCTCCTAGTGTGTCACATGTCAAAAATATACCATCAGATTTTATGAGTTGTGCAAATATCCAGAAATACTTAATCCCAGCTGTCTGTGTGTTAAAGAGGCATTTCACACATGAAGCTCTGTTTACCAGTCATGGTTAGAACTACTGACACTGAAAACAGCTTACTCTAAGTCTACTAATGTCTTGGGAAACCCCTTTAAGCGCCCCAAGTTATAAATTAGTAGTAATTAGAGGCACATAAAGCAATTGTTAAGGCTTTATCAGTCCCACTATCCTTTAACTGAAATGTCTTTACCCAGCTGGAGTTTAACAGTGACTGTGTCAGAGGCAGTTTCGGTGCTGAGTATGCGTGAAGAGCTGCTGGCCTTCAGGCTGTCATCTGCCTTGACAGCAAGCAGATGGGAGTTTCTGTCCATCCTCTGGAGAGGCATGCTTGTCTCTGCACTCCTCTTCCTCACGTCTTACAGCCAGTCTTGCTTCCTAAATAAAAGTGACGTGTCAGTGTAAGCCAACGCAGTTGCATAGTCAGCCCCCCTCCTTACTCTACATGATACTAAAGGCCCATTTTCATGCCGTAACAGTGAGTAAACAAAGCTGCCTCAGCGGGTTTATCCGCGGGTACAGCAGTGCAGAAGGAATTTCTCCCTGAGGGGTGAATTGTAGCTCCACTTTTCCCTGAAATGAAACGATGGGTCTTGTTTGCGGATGTTGGTGCAGAGGCCGGCTTTTGATTCAGATTTGATTGCGCTGCTTCAGTAAAATGGCACACAGTAGAGACTCAAGACTCAAAGGTTTGGTTCAAACATTTATTTACTCAGAGGAGTGAGACAAAATAATTCAGAAAACACTAACTGACTGAATAGATTTGTTTAGAGCTGCAACCATTAATCGATTAGTTGCCAACTATTTAATGATATGTGCTCCGCTAACTATTTGATAATCAAGTAATTGGTTTGAGTAATTTTTTAAGAAAAATTCCAGCTTTTTAGAATTGAATATTTTCTAGTTTCTTTCCTCCTCTGTGACAGTAAACTCAATGTCTTTGGATTGTGGACCAAAATAAGACAATTGAGGACTTCATCTTGGGCTTCGGGAAACACTGATGGACATTTTTCACCTTTTCTGAAATTTTATAGACTAAAAATCTAATCGATTAATTGAGGAAAAATTGACAGATAAATTAACATTGAAAACAATCATTAGTTGCAGCCGACTTGTTTATCATCTACAAAAAAACTGAAATGAGAAAATGGACCTCACAGTGTGAGTAAAGTGTAGTAAAGAGCGGTTAGTGGGTAGACAAATAAAGAATGGAGACCAAGTCTGAACCTCATTTCAGTTATTATGAACAATGTGTTTGAAAGTGAATTAGATGTTAACCTAACAGTGTCCAGTTTTTTTTTACCCTGTCACTCTTTTCTTGATACTTAATAAAATAAATGATTACTCCACCCATATAGAATGGGTAATGAGTGTCACTGAACAGAGTTTCCTGCCCAGTATTTTACACGCCATCACTATGTGCATATATTTTAGTTAGGATTCTGCCAACCCAATGAGAAACTGTGAAATTAATTCAGCTCCAAAGTAACTTTCCATTCCCATCAGCTCATTAGTTTGACTCTGGTCTTGATGTTTGCATTCTAAATGTACTCAATGGACTGTCAGTTAAGCCTGTTGTATGCAATTTACCCCCACAGTGTACATTTAGAATGCAAAACTGACAGCCCCTCATTAATTTTACTTAATGGTCTCTGGGCAAGCGGGCCAAGTCTCACACAGTAGATGTTTTGGGACGCTCCTTTTAAATAATAATATCCATAACGGCACGTGCGTGTGCTGCCTTGGTGATGCTGTTGAAGTCTCTGAATCATCGTATCATCACTTCTGATAAATCTGCGCTTGAAGAGCTGTGAGTGAAGACGCTGCCTTGACACTTTTATTGCATTCTTGTTATCTTCCAAACACAATTCAGCCTCTGCTTTCTTTAACTCAGCTTGTTTTGTGTCTGGAGATACAGTTTGGTAAGCGCTGGCCTACTTTCAGTTGTTCTCTAGTTGAAAAAGAGCTCAGCTTGGCACATCATATCAAAATTGCGTCTCTCCAAATACTCATTATTTATTTGATTGAATTGTAAATGCTTTCTTCTTTAAATTGCAACCTGTGCGTTTGTGTTGGTCTAAAGTCTGAAGTTGGTAAAATAAATATGATGTCAAGGCAGTGAAACACATGAGGGAAGCGGAAGAGTTGTGATCGTGACTGTGTTTATAATTGGTGAAAGGAATGTGCCCTGAAATATAGATAAAAAAACTGATGCGACACAGCAGTTTTTCCACTTCAGGCCAGAGCACTTCAGACAGGAAGGAGATGTTGGTGTCATCAGTGTGTTTAGTGAAGTTCCAGATGTGGTGTGGCTAAAAGAACACAGTGATGATAGATAGGGGAGAGATGTTTTTAATGCTGGACTTAGTAGTAAACGTTTAGGGTTCCTGGGTTGTTTTTGAGACTGTGGGCACAGTCATTTTAAATGTTTCAGATTTCAGGAGCGTGAACCGTATGGCTGCTGTGTAACCCACCACCATTTATTGGTCTCCAGGATTCAGAACGGGTAGTTGTCCTGTGGAAGACTGCAGAGAGAAGGAGTAATATAATGGAAGAGTTGTTTGTCAAAGTCAGTGTGAAGGGCATCAAGATTCAGGTGTCCACAGAGAGAGACGGCTATGCCTTGTCTGACGCAGTGACAAGAGCTGAGGGCTGACCACTGACAAGTGCAAGAGAACAGAGACAAAAAAGATGAGGGTGGATTGGGAGACATCTTGTTCTTTGCGATGTCTCAGGTCTGAGTGGAAAGCTGTACAGTAAGTGTATGAAAGATGGAGAGAAAGGGGCAACTGATGCCGATTTAAGAGTTCACTGGGGTATGATCCTCTTCCTAACAGACAGAGGTGTACAATTTACTAATATTCAAGTCAGTAAGTACAGCGTTAAGATGGGGACATTGTTTTTAACCCTGCAGGTAAACTGTTTTTGATCAATAATCTCCAGAGAGCTGCAGTTCTTCTACATAACATCTACCCTGACATTTGACTGATTAGCATCAGCGCACCTACTGTCACTGAGAAATGGCATGTTAGATGTACTTTGAGGCTTATTGGGTCAGACGGTGGAAAACTGTTTTAGCGTTTTACATCCTGTTTTTTCTGACTGATGAGGCTTAAACTGAACTGAATTCTCAGCTAAAGGAAAATTGATGTGTTCATCTCATCGACAGTAGCAGAGACAAGTAAACTGACCCACGAGTGGAAAAACTCTCTGCTACTGTCATCTCATCTCAGTGACTGACAAGTGTGTGATTTTTTCTTTTTCTTTTTTTTTTTTGAACAAACGTCTTGAATCGAGGCCAGCTCCATTGTCGTAGTTTAAGAAGCTTACGACCCTTTCCCAGACATAATATCTGATTAGTGCGGTTTGGGTTTTTTAAGTAGGTCTGTTCCTTTTTTTTTTCTTCTTGTTTCGAAGAGGAGCAGAGGATACTTTAGGGAGTAGGAGGATTCCTTTGTAGTTGCCTGGGAGGTGGTATTTAAGAACGAAGCTTTTGCCTCAAGGAAACTACACATGCATAAAGGAAAGGTTTGCATTAGAATGAAGCTGAAATGTACAATGGGACAACCATTGTATGGGGTTTCACTCACAGACAGACCTTGTGTGAGCCTAAGTAGTGTCAGTAGTGTTACTGTAGAGCAGTAAACAGTTGTGTAAGAGATCTAAGATGTGTCTTTCTCTCCTTCCCTCACTGTCTAGTGTCTAAGAAGCACGGGAAGCTGATCACCTTTTTGCGCTCCTTCATGAAGTCCAGGCCCACCAAGCAGAAGCTGAAGCAGAGAGGCATCCTCCGGGAGAGGGTGTTCGGCTGCGACCTGGGAGAACACCTCCTCAACTCCGGTCATGATGGTGAGAAACATGCAGACACCTGAGAGCAGCAGTATTTCCTGGATCCATGTATGCTTTGTTTTTTCGTGACACTATAATTTCTCAAATAGACACCAAGGCCTCAATTTACCAGGGCCTAGATTTATGGCAGAGAGAACAGGCCTTTATTGGCAACAGGCTTACATTACAGGCTGTCTTTGATTTCTTATTTCACCTGTTCCCTGGTTAATGCAAAGTCAAAAAGTCCTCCATGTTTACCTGTTGACAAGATAAATTCAGGGCCTGTGTTTCCAACTCTATGCGACCAAAAAAAAATGCCCAGCGCTCAGCGCCTCCTCACGCTGCTGGTGTTTTAGCTATGTTGTAAAAATGCGGTGCTCTGATTGCAATGAATTGGAAAAAAAGACACTGGCCTCAGGAAAAAACGCTTTGGTGGACACAGCCACTCACTACTGCACTCTGCTCTTCTCTTTTTTACTAAAAATACTTCATTCCACTGCAGATTTGTCCCCATAAATGTCTTCCTGGATGCCTAGCCGTTTAAATTTTGAGAAATATGATTATTCGAGAAGATTGATGCCGCACTCTCATATCTTCTTCTTTCGGCTGCTCCCCCAAAGGGTCATCATCTATTTCCATCAAACAGATATACAACACACACTGTTAATAAACAGCAGCTCTGCTTGGAATTCAGATATAAGTCCATACCTGCATTTATCTGCTGCAGCCACATTGATTTTCAGAGCTCTCAGCAGCACGGGGTCTGGCAGGTCAGCTGGTGTGATGTTCTCAACGACAGAGTGAGATGATGATGTTCTCCTGATTACACTGTAACATCAACTCCAACCACTGTTATGATGCTACTCTCCTGTTGAAACGTGATCAATACCTTCATTTTAGTTCATGTTGACACCAACCTGAAAACCCATTTATTCACATTAATAGATCCTCTTCTGTGTCTGGACATGGATGGTTCTTATCTCACCAGCACATTTGCTCACGGTGATCACAGTGTTGGGTGAAGGAGTCAATCCTTGACCTCTGTACATCCTGCCTTACCTTGACATGGGGAGATAAGCTGCTCTGTCACACTTTGCTGGGTCAGATGGTCAAGGTGTTCTGACTGCTTCAGTGAATTGGAGAAATGCGAAGCGAGGGAAACACAATTAATGATTATGATTTTTAGTTTAAAAGTAGAACACAGAAACTCTGCTACTACATAGACAAATCGAGGTAGGCAGAAGTAGACAATCAATCAAGCAATTACAGCGGTGGTACTTGACTAGTTAACCCTACATTTGCAGAGTTCTACAGTGCCACCATTTCACTCGTAAATAAATAGATAAGCGCAAACTGGGAAAACTACTTATGGGCACAGTGTGTGAGTAAAGACTGCAACCTACCACAGTGTCACTTTCTGTGAACCAACCGATCCCAGCCTGGATGGGGCAGGACATTTAAAAAATGTGCTACATTGGTTAAAGTCATTGTTCTGCATTAACAAATGAGAGACCAGTGTAGACCATTTTTCTTGCACAAGGATTCAATGAATGAAAGCCACCCACAAATGTAATTATTGCCGTAAAACTTTAATTAGTCCCAAATAGCCGCCTGTCCCGTTAACTGGCCTGGTGTGGGAACACATTTTGACCAAAAAACGCAGGTCTCTATTAGAGGCCTGGTCTGGTTTTTATAGAAGTTCTTGTATAAAACCTCTTAAAGCCCGCCGGGTCGCCCGCTAGAGCTAGTTCTAAGCCGCTTAGATCATGAATACAAATACTGTTTAAACTTTTGTTGGACATGCTGCACATCGTTTAGATCAGTTAGATTCTCCACAATTCAAAAGTTCAGTTCATTTTCTGGAATCAACAAGCCCAAAGTCTAATTCATTCAGATTTACCAACATGGTAAACAACCGATGGAGGGGAAAAAAGTGCAGACTCCTGATCTTTGAAGCGCTCGTTAAGTCCGTTTTGCCAAGACATCCGCTGAAATTGGTTATATGTTGAGTCATACAGAAGGTATTATCTACAAAACTTAAGTGAAATTTAGTCCAGTTTGAACAGACAACTAGACGTCTTGTTGTGCTGTCTTAAGTTGCTCCAGATAATAGAAATTAAAAGCCAAATGGAGCATATGCTCCATGAAATGAACTTTATTTTCCTAAATCTTCATGCTTCAGTTGCATTCTGAGGGGCATGTTTGCAAAAGGCATCGCTAAAGGAGGGATCTGCCTGCGTGGGGCGGATGGTGAGCGACCACCGGGCATATCCCTTCCTAGCTTAGGACTAAATTTTCCACCTTTACGGTGTCATGTAAATTATGTTTTTATTAAGTTATGCATATCTGTTGATTACAGGCTGGATGATTAAAATTATAAGCTAGCATGGCGCTTGAAAACTTAACACGTTAGTTAGACAATTAGTGTCCAGATTTGTCTATATTCAGTGCCGAAAGATTTTCACTTTGTCATAGTTTGAGCCTTTAAAGTACTGTTTTAAGGAGTTGAAAGATGAATTCTTGTTGTGTGTCCAACACTGACTCCACATTCAAACACGTGTATATTTGTGATAAGAGGACTTCATAACAAAATCTTCCTATGTAAAGGACTTGGAGAGGATTTATGCCCCCTCACTGTCCTCTCCACTGCTGCAGAATGCCAACGAGTTTCCTCAAACCTCGCCTTGTTTTCTCTTTCGCTATGTGTGGAATTTGTCTGAACAGCTGCTCCGGCGAGTGTCCCACTCTCTTGTCATCGTCGGAATGATGTGTGAGCTGTGGGAGGCCTGGGAGCCTCCTTATACACTGACACACACCATCCTTATCTCCCATATACACACACACAAACAGATAAATAACATGTCTGTATGATTCATGGTTGCTGAAGGAGAATGAAGAAGCTCTGTTTTTCTGAGGTTTTTCTTTTTTCGTCTGTCCCTCTCTAACACACAATCACTGGCATTGTGTTTTGAAGCTGAGCATATGTGATTGGCTGCCTCACTCACAGACATGTTATCTCTCACAAGGTTCAAATGTTTCCATACTCAGCTCGAAAAGTCCTTTTTCCTTCCGAAAGCACTACAAAGTTAATTATTCAAACTCTGTACTCGCACATCAAAAAGGAAAGTCATCCTTCTTCTTGACCTTGTAGCGTTCAGTGAAGCCTGGACAAATATTGACTGCTGTTTTTCTCTCCTCAGTGCCCCAGGTCCTCAAGAGCTGCACCGAGTTCATCGAGAAACATGGCGTGGTGGACGGCATCTACCGCCTCTCTGGAATCGCCTCAAATATTCAGAAATTGCGGTATGAGACGCAGGCTGCTTATTTATTACAATGTTTATCTGTATGCAATGTTTATCCAGAGCTCTCTGTGCATGCTCCTTCCATAGAAACGTCGTTCATCATAGGAGGAGCTCACAAATCTAATCCCATCGTACCGCTCATCTGAAGGCGGATAACATATAAATTCCATCTAGGATTATTGTGTCAGTGAAAGAAAAATGATGACATTCAGTGTAACAGTTGATCCTCATTTACAGTTTTTACTATCTAATGTTGTCATACCAGGAGAAGTACTTGTACTTCTGTAATCGGAGCCTTTGCAGCAGGTGTGGCTTGTAAAAGGGAACACACACACCTCTCTCCGTACAACACACAAACAGTGGAAAAGACACCAGAGAGCCAGCAGTTGTTTTTTATGTTGTAATAATTATAACAGATGTACACAATAGTGGAAGACTTAAACAAAAGTACAGACGTGAAACCAGCTAAATGTAACTATTGTACTAAATGGCAGAAACGTAGTACTCTGCTCTCCCCGCACTGTGAGGTAACGTGAGGGGTGAAATTAGCAGATGGTAGCTAGTTCATTAGCCATGTTATCTGCCTTGTTAGCAAGGTGTGTAGTATTTATTTCACCAGTGCTAAACATGCTAACTCTCTTAGCTTGTTGCAAATTCATTTCATTTCAGAGTGAGGGGTGGTGCTCCCGTACATGAAACATCATATTTGTCTTATTGCCTCCGTCTTTTCTGATGGGGGGAAAATGTGCAGGGGTTCCCGTCCTTTGGCCATCCTACATCCTTTAAATATGAATGTAAAAGTCTTCTTCTTTATTTACTTAAAACTGAAGCATTCAAGTAAAAACAATATAAAAACCCTGAAATCACCAGTGCAAGTATTACTGACATCAAACAGTAAGAGTGTATTCCATAATGTGTGCTCACATGTCGTTAAAGCAACATATTATCATAGACGATAAAAGTCGCACACCCCTAGTTTACAGGATAGGATTAAGCCTGCATATGTGGAGAGGACCCCATCCAAAGGTGTAATTTCCACCTCTACAGTTTGAAATAGATTTTCTCCAAACAGTGTCCCCTGATTGGCCAGCTGCCAAAAAATCCAGATGTGATTCGAGAGGAGTTTATCGAAATGTTGAAACACGCTCTTGATCAGCCTCAGTGATTAGTTTACTTTCACATTAAGCTTTGTGAGCAATGGCAAGTGCATTTTGAACCTTTTAATGAGTAAAACATGCTTTTGTAACTCATTTATTTTGGTGGTTAGAGATCATTTCAGTTGAATGAAAGTAAATGTAATTTTCATTGTTAGAGCATATAGAAATATAGGCCACATCTCTAATTCCAGTGTTTCCCACACATACACTTTATATTTTAACTGTGTCTTTCTGCAACTTTATACAACATAGTCTGCTGCTGACGGAGAAAGTCACCAGAGCAGACACATAAGGTGGAGAGAAAGAGAAAGAGGCAGGGCATGCTGCTGTGTTTGCAGCAGAGGTGTAGGTGTGTGTATATGTGAAGGGAAAGGGAGCAGATACAATTAGTGAGTAAACACTAGGTAGTTTAATAAGGTGGAGAATGAAGTAGAATTAAAATGGTGAAAAAAGAAATAAGCTACTGGATATAGAAAATATAAACCCTGCTAACACTGACACACCTCTGGCTGCCGCCACCACCACCCGGCTTGTCTGTAATTATGTGGGACACTGAGTCTTTTGTTAGACTTTTGGAGGGCACGAAGACCAATTTCATTACTGTGTGTTATTTTCCAGTTTAGCATAAACTGAAGTAAATAAATTGCAGTCACATAAGGGTTTTAGAATGAGAATATGAAACATACTGTACACCTCTGACCACGTTACAGTGTCCACTGTGCAGCCTGAGACTACGTCATTACCACTTTTGATTTGTTTTAATTTTTAACAAAAATGGGAAGATTTTTTTTGTTGTTGTTGAAAAGTTGTGAATGCACATGTCAACAATCCTCTCTCCTGAAACACTACTGAAAGGCAGCTTGACTTTGCTTTATGTCTTGTATCTATCCATCTCTTCATAGATGCCTTTTCTTCTTCAGAAGTTAGTTTGACTCTGCCTTTAACCTCTTTCTCTTTCATCAGGCATGAGTTTGACTCTGAGCAGATCCCCGACCTGACCAAAGATGTTTACATCCAGGACATCCACTGTGTTGGCTCGCTGTGTAAGCTCTACTTCAGAGAGCTGCCCAACCCCCTGCTCACCTACCAGCTCTACGAGAAATTCTCTGTAAGCAAAGTCTTAGACGACTAAACACTTGCACACACCAGTACTTTATACTAGTGTGTGGATACAACTCTATTACAGAGCTTTACTTTTCATGTTGTTTTGAGTTGCTGTGTGCACCGATGCCTGACAGAACTGATTTTAAATTTGTGCTTGATCTCTATAGAAAATAAAGGAAATTTATCTTACACATTTATCTTATCTGAAGTCTTCAGATTTATCTTACAGTTATGAGTCACAGAGACCCTTAAAATTATATCATTGTACTTGACACACCCTATCATTACAAAATACAGCAAAATGCTCTCTGCGTGATTTGTAGGAATAAAAACCTTTTCCAAGCATAACAGTCCCTGAAGATGAAGGTTGTTATGGCAGCTGGGGGGGGCTGCAGACCGATGTCCCCTCCGTGCTTCATGTAGCAGTGTGAACCCGGGATGACAAGTGAATGAGCTTAATGTTGATGCACTGACACATCCCACTATTATCTCATTCTCTCCCCATACCTCCCATTGTTTTCACTCTGAAGGAGGCTGTATCAGCAGCGACGGACGAAGAGCGACTCATCAAAATCCATGATGTCATCCAGCAGCTTCCTCCTCCGCATTACAGGTCAGTGTAGAGGCACATTGCCACCCTTTGGCAGGCGCAGGAACTCCCAGATTACAGATGCATACTCACGTTGTGCATTCACATCAGTGGTGTGTGTCAGTTAATGTTAAAATCAAGGGTTTTTGTAGTGCCATACTGCAGTGAATGAAATCATTTAACAGGTCCCGGCTGATCCTTGTGTTGCTGATGATGAATTGAATTTCCCATCCTTTGTGAAAGCATACAAATGCTAATTTCTAAGTGACATTCCTCTGGGATTTGGGTACAGAGTGAAATATTGATGCTCTGAAGAAGTATCTCTATCATGGCCATTAGTGGGCACATCACTAGTGGGAGCCAATTAAATCTGAATAAATGAATATTTGATTCTCAGGACCCTGGAGTTCCTGATGAGACACCTTTCTCGCCTGGCAGCGTTCAGCTACATCACCAACATGCACAGCAAGAACCTGGCCATCGTCTGGGCGCCCAACCTACTGAGGTGTGATGCTCTCCTGCTCCATAGAATGTTCTTTGTATACATGGATTTCCTTGCAGTGAATACACTGTAAATCATAATCTAAAAGCTGTCTTGATTGGCTGTCCCTATTATTTGAGTGATTCATTTCGAATGCAGTGCTCGTTTGACTGGAGTACTACTTGATACTGGGCTATTTCGGTCGATACCTTAAAGGTATCTAGTAGCGATACCCATCCCTAATATGTAGTTGATCTTATGTGGGTCTTTTACTATTCACATTAACGATTTCTCAGACTTGAATCAGCCCAGATAATGGGCTCTGTGCAGCAGGAAGTACCGTGTCTCCTGCTCTGAATGAGTCATTCTGCCTGAATGGAAGGATTTAAGCAGCTGTATGTGGGAGGGTGCTGATCAACGCATCTCAAAATCCTTTTACACAAATGATGTAACTTTAAATTTAACCACTTCAACAAAATCAGGTGGACTTTGCAAATGTAATTTTTCCCTTTGTTGTTGTTTGTCCATGATTGCCTCAGGTCAAAACAGATTGAATCCGCCTGCTTCAGCGGCACAGCGGCCTTCATGGAAGTCCGAATCCAGTCGGTGGTGGTGGAGTTCATCCTCAACCATGTGGATGTTCTCTTCAGCAGTAAACTCAGCTCACTGATACGAGAGGGAGCAGGTACGTACAGGCATCGGTTTGATGAGACCTCTGCTTAAATTATTCCTTCCACCACCCACTGCTGCTTCTGTTTGAGCAATAAACACTCTTCCACATCACCAGGTCACAACTCATTGTCGCGGCCCAAATCCCTGCTGGTTTCATCACCCTCTACTAAACTGCTGACTCTGGAGGAGGCCCAGGCCAGGACCCAGGCTCAGATCAACTCTCCGGTCACGGAAGACAGCAAGTACATCGAGGTGGGCGAAGGTCCGGCTGCCCTGCAGGGCAAGTTCCACACTGTCATCGAGTTTCCCACCGAGAGGTTTGTTAACTCTTCTTCCTTTTATGTCATTTGATGACTACATCTTCAAAAGATCGATTAATATACAATCTAAATTTAGACACACAGACAGAGACATGATTTTGTAGAGAAAGATGCATTTTAATGCCACTGGACTTTAAATGCTGGAGTGTGTCTCCCTCTGCTGGTAAGAATGCAGGCAGAGCCATTTTCTTCCTGATCCAGGCTGACAATGGGTGCTTATCAAGTCTCTGAAGAGAAGTCTCTTCTGGTGTGGACTCGAGTCACAAAAATGATGACTTTAGACTCGACTTGACAAAATCAAAGAAGACTTGCGACCCGACTTTAACTTGAACACCAATGACTGGTGACTTCACTTGGACTTGAGCCTTTTGATTCGAGCTGACTTGACACTCCACATGCCCGAATATAAATGATGATATAAAAAACTGCGCAGCACATCAACATAGCGCGGTGCTCAATTAGACTGGAGTGTGTGGCTTCCTCCAGCAAGAGGGAACAAGGACTGTCGTCCTCTTGTGCACTAGATGCTACTTAAAGTTAATAATGTTGGACTATTGTTTCTTATTTTATGGGCTATATGGGATTTTTGAGTAATGCATATATAATAGTTTTTAAAAAGAAAGTATTACATTTCAATAGTTTAATGTTTCTTAAGGCAATGAGTAATCCTGTTAAATAATGAACATGAACATTTAATTCATGAAAAACATTTGTTGTGTGAAACTGCACCTCTGCCTTCTTTCTGTACAGTCTAATGCTTCATTCAATACATTTTTTGTATTTTTAACTTATAAAAACTTTTGAAATGGTTTTACATTTGGTGAAGAGCGCATTATGACTTGTTTAGGACTCGAAACTCAAAGTTTAAGACTTGGACTTGACTCGGACTTGTTGGTCCTTGACCTGAGACTTGACTCGGACTTGCCAGTCATGATTGGTCTGGACTTGGGACTTGAGTGCTAAGATTTGAGACTTGACTCGGACTTGTAAAACGATGACTTGGTCCCACCTCTGCTTAATTGCATTCACGTTTCCCTCACTTGCGTCTTAGTCCCGCCCACCGGGGATGCATGGAGAGAAACAAGGAAATCAAGCCAGGAGAGAAGGAACGAGGACATATGAGACATTCTTTCCTCCGAAGTGTCACGTGAAGCGATGTCCGTTTCTGATGACGGCTGTCAGTCACTCTAACAGCTGTAGAGAGGCACAGGATCATTTCTACTGGCACAATGCTCATATTATCTGCATTTATATTTATTGATTTATTATTTACTGATTGTGAATTCGTTATTGAATAACCCAGAAAATGATCCAAGGTGTCTTTGGATTTATTAGGCTGAATGTTTCAGGGAAATTGAGATGATGTAACTCATTTCAAAGTCGACGCTCAGTTTTAGGCTTTCTGTTTATTTCCTCTTCTGATATCCTTTAACACTACTGCATACATTTTATTTCAAAGTCACATCACTCGTCACCGATCCTCACTCCTCGGAGCGCAAATAAGAGCTTTGGGATGGTCTGCAAGATGGCGGAGCGACTTCCTGTTCAAGCAAGGAGCAAAGAAACGACAAATAAGAGACTTGAGAAGCACCCAGTGTCACAAGTTGACTCAGGACCTGTCATTAAGATTTCTACAGAAAGTAACTATTCCATGTCTGCTTGTCCACCACCATTTTATAAACACAGGAAGAGGCCTCCTATTAAATCCAAGAAGTCTCCTGTGGGCAGTTGGCGTTCTTTCTTCAACCTAGGCAAGTCTTCCTCCATGTCCAAGCGCAAGCTGCACCGGAATCCCAGTGAGCCCAATGAACTAAAGGCCATGGCCCTCGCTGGTGAGTCCTTGCTCCACAACTAGAATGAGTCCATTTTTCAGTCGCCTTACAATTGCAATGAGAAGATATTATTTGACTAAACAAGGCTAAATGCTGATACCTTTTTAATCATCGTGTTTCAGGAGGCAGAGGAGACACAGCAACATTACGATCCGCCAAAAGTGAAGAATCACTGAGCTCCCTGCACAATGTTGAAGGTAATCATTTGTGTCTTCCCGTTCACTTTGTTTCAGCATAGTCAGTGCTGCCCATCTTATATTTCAAAAGCTCTTTCTACAGTGTATCCTCCTGTTAAACGTAGGGCCTTTTTAAAATAAATTGCTTCTGATTATGTTTCCCTCCTTCAGGAGAGTCCAAGGTGTACCGTCCTCGGCGGCCGCGCTCCAGCAGCGATGCCCTGTCAGCCTCCTTTAATGGCGACCTGCTGGACAGCCGGCAGCACTGCAACTCTTACGATAACCTGGACGCCACAGAGGACAGCGACGGCGACGACGGACCCATCTGTGTGCCTGCCCTCATCTCACCTCCCCGCTCAGCAGGTGAAGATGTGGACCTCAGCCCGCCAGACATTGGCATGGCCTCCTTGGACTTTGACCCCATGTCTTTCCAGTGCAGTCTCCCCGACACCTCCTATGCCTTCCCCGTAGATGACTCACCAGCTGGGGCGGAGAGCTCCACGATAAAGAGGAGCCCCAGCAACTTCTGTGGCAAGACCAACGGCTCTGACTTCATCTCCGCCACCTTCCTGGGCAGCCTGTTGTCCACAGACTTCAGCCAGGCTGCTGGAGAGAAGGTGCAAAGCAAGAAACTGACCACTTCCTATTCTTACACTGATAAACCCACACAGGCGGTGTCGCCTATTAAATGTGGGAAGACCGCTAGTTTGACAGCATTTTCCACTTCAGAGCTTTTCCCTACAGAGATGCCTGACAAGAATACAGCGGGACAGGCTGTCTCTCCACAGCCATTATCTCCTCCTTCAGTAGCCAAGGATTCTCCTCCCCTGATGGGCAGTGTGCTGCTGAGGGCAGCAGAGCCATCGCTCAGTGAAGCTTTCCAAATGGAGCTCCACTCTAAGCTGGCAGCCTTTGACAGTGTGGACAGTAGAGAGCTGAAGGGACAGGACGGTGTACAGCAGGCGCCCGCTGCCAGCAGCCAAGAGCACCAAGGTAGGAAGCGGTTTTATGCACGTTTCTGACTTGTCACTGTTACGTAGATTAAAATAAGGTTGTAAATCATGCCATTATTTATAAGAATGCTTTTTTTTCTAGCTTTAGTTTCCTCCGGTTTGCATGGATTTCATCTTTAATAAATCTTTTTGTATCATGCTTGAGCATCAGGCATAACTTTTCCCCTCTCTCCCACTCTTGAAGCACCTTAAAACCAGCCTGCCTGCTGCTGCTCTTTTGCTTTTTTCATTCTTCAACTATAGATCCCCTGTATTTTTGTGTCCCTGCTAGGAGTCGTAGCTCTGGACTCTTCAAAGGACCTTACCCCTCGTTCCCTCAGCTCTACAGCTCCCTCTACTGCCCCTCCTCCCCCTCCTAAAAATGCTGCCCGCATGTTGGCCCTAGCCCTCGCTGAGTCTGCCCAGCAGGTCTCCATTCAGTCCCAGTCCTCTGAGCACCCCACACCGGTGTCCCCACTGCAGCCACAGGACACCTCCACCTTCCAGGACTCGCCACATCCACTGGTCCCACATTGCCATACTTCAGAGGAGGAAGTATCAGGGAGGGGAAGTCCCCAGCCATCAAACAGCACCGCTGCGACTGTCACCCCAGTCTTATCTTATCCCCCCAATTCCAGTCCTACAGTCAAGCAGCAGCCACTAGAGTTAACCAGCACCATTACCAAGCCATCAGAGAGTGCCAAGTCCTCTACAACTCCACCTGTACCACAGCCAGAAATGGACTCCACCCCACCAGATAATCCTCTTTACAAGTGTGTCCCACTCCCCAGTTCAACTAGCCTGACTTCTCCAACCAGAAAAAGTCCAGAAAGGCAGCAGGTCCCAGTCCATACCAGCTCATCTAGTACCACTCCAGCCACCACCCCCAGCGGCAACTACAAAGACACTGGAGTCTCACCACAGCCTGTTCCTGAGGTAGGGTCATATCAGTTTCATATGTTGATTGGTACTAATATGACCTGTATTTGGGTTATGTGTGAGTTGCAATCAGCATCATCCAAACGTATTAATAATTTATATGCAGTATAACATGAGGGAATAATTAGCCTTAAAGGAAGAGTCCAACATTTTGAGAAATACACCTTTTTTGCTCTCTTGCCGAGAGTCAGATGATAAGATCGGTACGACTCTCCTCTCTGTCCATTTAAACATGAAGCTGCAGCCAGCCAGCCGAGCACAAAGACTGAAGACGGGGGGAAATGGCTACCTTGGCTGTGTCCAAAGGTGAAAAAATAAATCCTCCTGCCAGTCTTTATGCCAAGTGTCTCCTGTTTCTAGCTAAATTAACGTCCGTTACCTTCAAGCATTCGCCAAACAAGTTAATACAACCAGGTAAGCCAGGTAAATCTCTCTGTATTTTAAATCTGGTGTCTGTGGTGAAACGGTTGTCGTAGCCACCATAGCGAGCCTGTACGTCAGAAGCATGTCCACAGTGCTGTGTAATTATTCTCACTGTCAGGAGGGGGAGACAAACGTTCAGCACTGCAGGTTTTAATCTTCAGAGCTTCTTAATATTCACGGCTTTCGTTTATTTTAAAGCGAACAGAAGCCAAAATACGCCTACAACACAAGGACCCACTAGTAGGAAAAAGAGTAACCAAGAAACAAAAACTTAAACAGACATTAAGAATGTATGGCATGCTGCTGCTGCAGTGGAACTGCCCAGTAACCACACTGGTGACAGCTGAGGTGTGTGAGGGTTAGATGTGGTGTTTTGTGGTATAATAACCTCCTGACCCACTGCAGCAGCGGGCACCTTGTTTTTTGTAAACTTTCCTCACTATATACGGGACTGTTTTGTTGTGTTTTGTCTCAGGTCAAACCAGAGGAGACTGCACCGCCCCCAATCCTTCCAAAACCATCAGAACAGCCACCTCCTAAAATCCGAAAGCCCAAAAGGCAGGCTGTCTCACTGCCTCAACATCAAACCCAAACTCCACCAACACAACCTCATCCACAGTCTCATCCACCGCCACAGCCTCAGACACAGCCTCAGACACAGCCTCAGACACAGCCTCAGACACAGTCTCAGACACAGGTCCAACCCCAACCCAAAACCCAAGCTCAGCCCGTCTCGAAGGCCAGCGCACGAGTGGCCCCCACCTCTGCCGAGCTTCATGAGAAGCCTTGGGAGGCCATAAAGCCAGTACAGCCCTGCACAGAGTCTGCAAAGTACCAAGACTCTTACACAACCACACCCCCAGCCCCTCCAGTCCGCACCATAGAGAGCAAACTGGCGACAGCAGCACTCAGCCAAAGTGAAGCCTCCTACCATATCCTGGGTGAGGGACCTGGCCCAGGCCCTCTGGAGGACGCTCTGCCTCACCATCCTCTTTCTCCTCGTAAATCTTCCACGCACCAGCCAGCCTACCTGTACCATGCTAAAGGAGAGCCACTCTTAATTGAGCCTCCAGGATCTGCATACTACCACCAGAGGCCTGTTCCTCTGGGCCCGCAGTCCATGCCACACCACTACCGGCCAGACAGCGTCCCCCCACACCTCTCCTTTGTGTCTAAATCTGAGCCTCAGATACCTTACAGCGCCCGTGTAGACAACAGATATAGCACTTTAGGCCCCAGGTCCTACCACCACTCTATAAAGTCCAGAGGAAACCCTCGCAGTGTGTATGTGTCTCCGGGGCCAGGGCATCCGGGTTATAGCCATGACAGAACCCACGGCTATCCCACCATCCGCAGAGTGCACTCCCTTCATGTTCCTTCTACTATCCGCTCAGTGCCCATCCAAAGGACTGAAGTTCCTCCAGATGATGATATATTCTTTTACCACCGGCCCATGTATCAGTGCAAAGCCTACCAGCAGCCCCCGCAGCAGTCCTCACAGGCCGACTACCACGTCACCCAGCTGCAGCCTTACTTTGAGAATGGACGGGTTCAGTATCGCTACAGTCCATACTCCGGTTCAAGCCCTTTGGAGGCGCCTTTCTATGACATTGACCCTTACGGCACCATTCGTGTCCGGCACATCCACTCCTATGGCAGCCGAGATCCTGGAGCCGTTGCTGGCCGACCGGGTGGAAAGGGGGCTGGGTACCACTACCTCGCTCGCCATGTTCTCCCACCTGGGAAGGAGCACAGCTTTGTGAGCCGGGACATGCCCCCCAGTCATGGGACCAAGGAAGCTGCTGCTTACCTCGCTTGGGACCCCGAGGAGTCAGAAAGGCTCCGCATGCACTCCATCCGCAGGGAGAGCAGGGCCAGACAGAAGATTAAAGGCCCTGTCCTTTCTCAGTATGACAATGTCGGCTTTTTTATACCATCCGATATATCAGGGTATGAAACCCTGCACCTGCGCAGTAAATCTGACCCAGGTAAAGCTGTGCTGGTTGCAGCCGAGAGTAAAGATGGGCGCTACCTCCCCAGACATATGGTGTCAGACCCTGACGTCCTCATGTACATGGAGACTGACAAGCATGTCCAGGGTAGCGCAGCGGGCACCAAGTCAGACGGGCTCGCCAAGCCAAGCAGTTCCAAGAAATGCCCGTCCTCTCACTCGCTCCCAGCTTCTCTGGGCCACAGTCTCTCCCATCAGCAGGAGAGCGGCCGACACGAGGCCAAGTACGAGACTGGAGACGAGAAGCTGGGTGGAGACAGCAGCAGGTCTAAACACTGGCAGCCGGAGTATACCAACAAGAAGAACTTTCAACCACGTTACGAGTGTCCTGATTCTGACCCCCACCAGAGTAAAGCGAAAACACCAAGCGGCTACCACAGTACGGACGACCAGGCCACAGCCCCCAGAGAACAACTTGCCCGCTCCAAACCGGAGCGATCACACAGCTTCCGAGAGCAGCAGCAGCAGCAGCACTACAGCCAGGGCAAACCTGAACTGGACAGAGACTACTCATATCAGAAACACAGCACTAAAACCACGCAGTCCCACTATGATAACTTGGAAGATTACCACCCAGTACCTCAGCCTCAGGCCCCACGTGGAGGCTCCAGCTCCTATCCCGCCCCCGGATTCACAGTGAGCCAAAGCAACAGAGCGTACTCCACAGCACTGGGCCAGGGAGCCTTTCTCCAGACTGACCTGGCCATGCAGAGGCCAGAGACAGAGATACATACAGAATGAAGCACAGGAGGGGGGGAATTATCTTTAGCTGTGTAGAAGAAAGACTTTGTTGAGCTATGGTTGAGCAGCCTCTGCAGGACAGTGGACTGATGTATCACCAATATTTTTGCTCCTCTGTATTTTTAATGAATTGTAAAGAAAATTTAAGACTTTTTACAGAAAGTCCTGAATGTACCTGAAATTATTGTCCAAGAGGTCATATTACTGTGATTGACTGCGACAGTAGCCGTTCATAAATGTACATGATATGAAAGATGTAAGGTACTTAACAGGAACCACAAAAATGTAAAATATATATATTAGAATTACTAGTAAAAAGGGATTTTTTTGTTGTATTTTGTGTTTTTGTTTTAGGTGTGGCGCTGGGTATGAGCATCAACTGGGATTATGGTTTGCATTTTAGAAATGCATGCACTCTCTATGTCTTACAGAACAGTTCTGTGTACTTCACTATCCATTGCGTTCTTTCCGGATGTTGCAGCACAAATTATTGAAGGAGGTTACATGTAGGTCGTCACACCTTCCCTCTGCTAATATGTACACATGTAGGTGGTATGGTGCATCTGTTTGTCTTTGATAAGGAGCTGCAATGGGTTAATTTCAGTTAATATGGTAGTTATCATTGTGTTATTTTCTTTGTGACTGTGCCATTTTATGGAACATTGCTATAAACAGATTTCAATGACTTCTAATGGAATGTTTGGGTACTTGTTTGTTCTTCATTGGAAGAGGGACCAAACGACTTGGCGCAGTTGTTGCACATACGGGGTAAAGAGGGGGGAGATGGATGCCCGTTGTACCTTTTTAGATGTGTAAGGAGATGTGTAAATGTTTATTTTTATTTCCTTCTTTTTTTCCACTATCACGGTACTTTCATGAACTGGACTAACTGAATAACATTTCTCTCGAACAACGTGGGGAAGAACATGTTGCAGCTGCTTTGTGGGAAAAGCAACTTGGTGATGAGCCTTACATTTTGTTCCTACAGACCATATTTTGTTTACTGTCATTGTCAAGTCCGTTGTCATAATGCACAAACATTGTGATATCTCTAGATGTAAGTTCACTTGGGATGATTCATGACAGTTCAGCGTCTCATTGGTACTGAATTTAAAACAATGGGGAACAGAGGGAAATGTTTTTTTTGTTTTTTTTTTCTAATTATATCTGGGGCCATTTCTTTTCAGGCTGGAAATCGATGTATAGTACATTCATCTGGTATTTATACTACATACCCTTTTGGTTTACCATAATGTATGGATTACAATATGTTTCAATATGTCTAAATCCAGGTTGTACTCTGTACCTGTTTGACTTCTATATCGCTTGCAGGTTTTGCTCCTCTTGCCTTATCTAAAGCCTCTTTTCAGATGGGCCATTGAAGTAAGGCACTGTGTACTTGAATGTGAAAACACTCTTGTCTCAACCTAGAGGTATCTAAAGTTAGATATGAAATAAATAAAACTGTTCAGGAATAGTTATAATCCATGTCTTTTAATTTGTGCATGATCTTACTAACCCACCACTGCCCGGTTCAGTCCGACAAGTCCTCGGAAGAAAATTGGCTTTGCAAATGCTTTATGAGGAAGGAAATGCATTCAGCACCTTTGTTGGACCTCAAGGTGCAGTGTGTTTTGGTGAGTAATCTTTTTGATTGACATCCTGTTGAAGGTGCTGAGAGATGGAAGAGCTGTGTAACTTCATGTACCCACAGGTTCAAGGATATAGTCTGACATTCAGTGTGTAAGACTTGTGGAAATAAATAATTCATGTTCACAAGGACCAGAAGCAAGGGAAGCAGAATAAAAATTAAAAGAAAATCACAAAGTCCATGATGAAAACTTTACATCCCGCATCTGACAAAAAAGTATAAAGTCACCCACTGACAAAATAAATAACATGATTTTATGGGTAGATATGAAAAAATTATGATATGAAAAAAATGTTTATCTAAACAACAACTGGTAGCCTACAGAGTGAAAGCCAAGATCGGTTTCACTGGCGACTTCTGTTTAATGAATTCATCATCAGGCATCGCTGTAAAACAAATAGCAACCAACACGATTTAGAAAAAAGAAATCGTTTCCATCAACAGAAAGCCATGCTCTGCGCGAGATGATTCTGTTAATAGCCTATATCAGAATCAATCCGGTGATCTTCTGACTGAGATGTGTAGCCTGTATTTGTTCTGCGGAGACTAAATACGCTTTTAACGCGACATTAAGGGAAAGTTAAAAGTATTTCTGGAGGCTGCTTTCCAACACAGACACTGGCCCCGCGTGCAGGTACTGGATCTGAGTTACATTAGTAGAACAAGCAGACCTTACATTGCAGAGGTATTTGGCTGATTTTGGAACGGTTGCACCTGCCCAGCTCATTATATCTGGCAGGCACGTGCGTCCTGCGTTATCGCGCGCGCAGCTTGGATGACGGCTCATATGGGTAAATGCAGAGTAGATAACAGACTAGCTGTATCAAAGCATGAATGGCAAGCCAAGTTAAAAGTAGATTATTTGCCCAAAAAATATTCAAGAGTATAAGCAGCAGTTTTTAAAAGGAACGGGAAAAGCTAGCCTACCGTTGTGGTGGCAAAATAGGCTTTTTTTGTTTTTTTACTAAATGGCATTAGGCTACTTGTGACGAGTTACCCACCCTTTGTAGAGTGAAGAACACACCTTTGGGATAAGATTGCTTAAGTTTACTTTTCATTTCTGACATGTATTTTTATAGATTTGTCCAGATTTTAAAATGGACGTGTCTGTTGCCTGCTACTGAAGCGGAACTGAACGAATCCCGACATGTCTGTACAGCTGGCATCCTACAGTTTGAATCCTAACTCTGCTCTGGTGCTGGAATATGATGACGATATCTTTCTTTTGAAAAAGAGATGCTAAATCAGGACTGTTTAAAACGAGGCGGCTAGAGGGACATGATTTGACTGCTCCATCACAACGTGAAGGCGGGTTATGAATGGTAAAGTCGTTTTTCAGCATCAGTGTGGGGTTTGGCATGAGCTTCATGTCAGAATGACTGAGAATAACTTGTACGCTAAATGTCATCCACATGAATATATGTAGAAATGATGCTGCTATCACAAGAGCCCTTGAACGTGGCTTTTCAAAGCAGGCCTGGACTCAGGCCTTGCAACCTAATGGCTTACTTTCCCTCTTGTTTCATATCATGGCCAGTAAGGTGATCAGGGAGATAAAACTCCAGTCCACTTGATAAATGTCAGGACTTCTGATATTGAATGATACATCTAGGCTACAACTCCAGTAATGGTGTAGCAATATTAAAAATGTTGGTTTTCATCTCTATACTCTTGCATAACCTTTAATTGTTTTGTTGTCTACACAAATAATTTGTTCATTTGATCTTTATCACTAATCTATTATTATTCTAAGATATCTGCATGACAATGAAGACACTGAACGCTACTTTTAAACAACAAATTGGGATCCATAGATATAGGAATAGATTTGAGCACATTCACGTATTTTGCTATAATAGGAAAAATACAACATTTTAAAAGTATCACACGAATATACATATTCTTTCTTTGAGATAGATCCTTGCATTGTTTCTGTGGGAATTTCTGGCAGTAAAGTGCATCGTTCATCAAACCCGATATGCTGCAGTGGCGGTCTAAAAGTAAGACTGGGTAACTGCAGAGTAAGCAAGGCAAGTTTATTTGTTATAACACTGTTTAACAAGGCAATTCAAAGTGCTTTACACAAGACAGAAAAACATTAAGATAACATAAAATGGAAGCTAAACAGATTAAATTAGAATAACAAACAGTTGAATAAAAATGACAATGCAGCCTCAGTGCAGTCAGGGTTTCAATAAATAATCCCAAGCAAACAGAAAAGACTTGAGCCCTGGTTTAGAAGAACTGAGAGTTGGAGCAGACCTGCAGTTTTCTGGGAGTTCCTTCCAGATATATGGTGCAGAAAAACTGAATGCGGCTTCTCCGTGTTTAGTTTTGACTCGGGGGACAGTAAGCAGAACTGTCTCAGACCACCTGAGAGGTCTGGGCCCTTCAGAGCAGAAGTGTAGGTTTGCTCTAAACACATTCAGTGCTTCAGAAACCAGCAGCACTGTTTTAAAATTCTTTGACACAAGAAGCCAGAGTACAGATCTGAGAGGTGGAGTGACGTGATCCACTCTCTTGTGAGGACTTTTTATAGAGTCCTGTAAAGACCGTGTTCCAGTAGTCCATCCTACTGAAGATCACTTTCTAAATCCTGCTGAGATGTTAAGTCTTTGAATACTGATATATTGTTATGGTGATAGAAGGCTGATCTTGTAATTGTCTTAATACAGATGCTAAAATAGGTCTGAGTCCGTGACTACACCAAGATGTCTGGCCTGGTTTGTGGTCGGTAACGTTTGCAACCGAGCGCTGGCTTTTAGTGTTTGTATGGGACCATAGTCGCCTGGTGATGTCGTCTTAAATCTGCACGTTGAACAGAAGAGGCCTGAGAGTGGAGCCTTGGGCAACTCCACATGTCATTTTCTGCACTCAGATGTGAAATTATCACACAAAGTGGTCCTTTAAGGTTCAAGATCAATTTAATGCTCATATTACAACAGGGTTGTTTTATTAAACTTAGTCTGATACACAGCAGACAATCTAAAGTATAACAATCCTAAAATGGTAAACAAGTAAACTATTCTTTATATAACTTTAGGATTCAAACCACTTTAGCACTGGCACAGTGTGAAGAAAGGTAAGATTAGCTCCACCACAGCCAGCAGCCACCAAGAAAAAGCTGCTTACGTGTTAATTCATCAGTAATAACAATCCAGCAGTTTACTATATAACAGTGTAACACTGACAGACGCCATTTTGGTTACATAGTGAGTATTTTTACTTTAATACTTTTTTTCTGATAATACTTCTGTAGGCTACATTAACTTTTAGAAAGTTATTTGTTATGAAGTATTTTACATTGCAGTACAGGTACTTTTACCAATTTGGATTTGAATACCCCTGAACACTGACTGCAAGAAGTCAAAATCAGTAAAGGTTATTGAAAAATTAAACTGATAAATGTTCTTCCAGTGGGGGAAGAAGTAAAAGTAGCAAAACCACAGTGTACTAACACCCACTACATTCACTAGAAGTAAAAGTCATGCATTCAAGAGTATTAGCATCAAAAAACTTAAAGTACCAAAAGTAAAAGTAAATGGTCCATTTCAGAACATTTTTTTGAATTCTAACTGTTAATGTATTAATGTACATTTCATTCTTACATTTCAGGTAATGGTGGGACAAATTTAAACTGTCTGTTATAGATTATATTTCATTTTTAAAATATATAATTGTACATCATAATTTACTTGATTGTGTTTTGTTCTAATAATCTGAATCCGCAAGGTAACTAAAAAGAACAGTGGAGTGGGAAGACAACAAGAAGAACTTTGTGTGTGCGAGCACTTTTTTGAAATTGGGACCTAAACGTAGTAGCCTAAAGTATAAAGTAACATAAAATGGAATTACTCAATTTAAGTAGGCCTACGAGTACCTCAAAATTGTACTTAAGTAGGCTTAAGTACTTGAATAAAATATAGGCTACTCATTTATTTTGCACCACTGGTCAATATATATTGTATAGCCTAGTCATTGTCTCTTGTTTTGGCTCTTGACAATCCTATCAATGTTTGCCTTGCTCCTGATTCTTTTCTCTTTTTTTCTGGAGCATGTGCTCATATCTGCTGCCTGGTTTTTCAATATTATTTTTTTGTTCCCTTTCTTGGTCTGTAATTTGCATATTTGTATTGCTTAGAATATGTTGGGAGGAGAAATCGTAAATAGTCCCAAAAAATGTTACATGCATGTTCATTAATTACATATTATTAGGCGTTACTTTTTTTATTATTACGGTATTTGATTCAAAACCAACAACGTTGGGAGCAAAAAGTTACAGTGGAGGAAACGAAGTTACAATGTTTACAAACGTTGCCAGTTGCATTGTGGGAGACAGATGATTGACACGGCCGCCATTTTGCTCCTGCTCTCTCTGCTTCCATTGTGTGAGAGATAGTAAATATCTGACACTGCCAGACAACCACAACACACTTGTATCCGCGCGAAGAAAAAGCGGTAAATTCACCCCCGGTAAGTTACATTTTCGTCTTACTTCTTTAAACACAGATAATATTCACCATCTTGTCAAGAAAATGAGACAGATAAAGTTGTTTTGGTGCAGAAATGGCGTGTTATTTCGACGCCGTAGAGAGGAGAAAAAGCAGCTGCCCCGATGCCCAGGCAGAGAGAAGAACGGCTCAGTACTTCCTCTGCCGAAATATCTGCTCCACTTTCATAGGCGATTTCTACCTCGCCGTCTCGCTCAAATATACCATCCCTTCCCACGCCATGATGCTTATTTGATGGCTACACTTATCCCCTATGATTTGTTGATAGTCTTGTGTGCGCGCGTTGTTTGCTTTTGAGTAAAAATGTCAAAGTTTACGTCCC